CTGTGATTGAGTAACAAAGGTACCAAATAGAATAAATTTAAAAGTAAGCTAAAATTAGAAAAGGACTAAAGTGAAAACATGATATTTTTAATACGCTTAACTATTGTGATAAACCGAGAAAATTGAAGGACCAAAATTAAAAACTTTCTAGAAAAAAAAGCCCATTAATTCCGCTCTCATCTTATCAATCTCTTCTTTAAAATCTTTTTAATCCACTCTTGATCATGCAAAAAACGGTTTGTCTTTTGGACTGTTTTCACTAATTTCATTGCATGAGCTAAGCTATCATTACAAAAAGGGAGCAAAAATGCTAAAAATAATACGGAAGAAAGACTCCTCAACTACCAAGCAAGGCAGTTGCTGCCTGCAGATTCTAGTCAATTTTATACCACGTCTGCATCACTTCATATCCTTATGGAGTGGCATCATGTGCGGAGTGATTAATGTTAATATCTATCTATCTATTTAGCTGGAAAAAAAAAAAAAAAAAACAAAGCATGCTTACGATCATATCCCTTTTTTGACTCCGTTGATTCTGAGAATTTAGACTTGAGAGCAAGTTTAGATTGGTTAAAGTCACTAGTTATCAAGTTTATTAAAAAAAATAAAAAAATTTAAGGATCAGTTTGCTGGTTAAGAAGATTTGGTCATTTTCTTGATTTTTTTTGTTCAGATTAGTCTAGAACAATTTGATTAAATTCTTTTAAATGTATTGAATCGATACAAAGAAAAAAAGGTTACCGTTTTTTTATACGTTTTTTTTTGTGCTGCTATATATAAATATAGTAATAGAAAGAGAGAAATGATGCTATTGAAACAAGATTTAATTAAATTGATAGCTCGAGAATAGCTTTTTTCGTATTGGATCTTATAAATTGGTGCATTCTTTGTTTTCCCCCTTCCGTATCCTGGACAAATTAGTGCATTCATTGAAAAAGGAGGAGTGGTAGGTTCCAGTTTTCTGTCAGCTTCTTCTTTTTTTTTTTTTTTTTGAATTCCGTCAACCTCTGCTGCAATTGCTAGTGTGAATTTTTACTCTTTATGTTGCATGAGTTGACTTCTCTTGCTTCAACAGGTAAAATGTTTTGAGTAAATCACAAATTAGTCCTTTTATTTTTAAAAAATGAATGAATTAATTTTTGTTTTAAAAATAATCATTTAATTTATCAATCGATGTTAATAATACTTAATTTAATATTACTTTATTATATAAAATGTCATATTCTCACACAGTTCTTTCATATTCTCTTGCTTACTTTTTTTTCTTTTTTATTTCTTAAACTAAAAAATCAAAATAAATTGAAAAATTACAAAAATGAGTAAGTTATAAAAAAATCTAAAAATATAAAGATTAAATGATTAGTTTTTTAAATAAAGAGGAATAGTTTTTTTTTTCAAAACTAAATGGAATAATTTACAATTTACTCAAAATATTTCCCTTAGATTTGTTTGACACCTCAATGTACTATAAAATTAATTTATCTTGAAATGAAATTCACGTGATTACCCAAATTAAGTAGAAGACATTAACACCATCACAGCGTCGTTATCAATGAGTTTACTTTCCACCCCCTTCCGTCTTTCTATATATATAGAAAATTTACCATTAGATTTATCATTCCCACTGTTTAATTTTTAAAATTTATTAATACATCCTCTAATTTATTATATTATAATTAAGTATGTTTGATATCAGATACTTAAAATATTAAAAAATTAAATATACATGACAGTGAAAATAAAAAAATTGAAAAGTAAAAATATTAATAAATATTTTAGATATTTGATATAAAACATAATTAATTATGATGTAGGAACAAAAATTAATAGGTGGGTGTGTTAATGATTTTTTTTTTATAAAAAAAGTGGCAGAAATAATAAATTTAATGACGGATATATATATTACAACCTAAAATACATAATTAAGTAGTAAAATAAAAAAATTGAAATGATATTTTTATTTTTATATTGTATTTGAATGACAATAAAGAATCAAAACGAAATTAAAAATTTTTAATATATAACTTTTAAAATAAATAATTAAAAAAATAATTTCACCAAGTCCATAATAGTAATATATATCCTGCTAGCAACATTAATGGAGGAAATGTTTTGAGAAATTTCACGTATGAGCAAAAGAGTACTTGAATTATACATTAAGCCGCCAGCATGGGGAACAGGTTTCAGATACAAATCATTATTGACGACACATGCAAATACATCACATGTATTTTAACCATCCTTTTTCATAAAATGTAACCATCAACAAAACCATTTATCTGCAATTAGAATCCAATAGAGTTTTCGGACTTGAAGACCTACCTGAATCAGAGGCTGTCCTGATCAATTCTAAAAAAGATAAGGCTATTGCCAAAAATATTTATTTGTTTGTTTTTTTTATTTATATAAATTAAATCTATTGATTAGACATTAAATGTAAACCCTTCGGCACTGGTCCTTTTCCTCATTTCTTACTTAATGAAACTCAAGTTTTTGTTTGTCTCATAAATGAGCTTACATTCTTCATGAAGTAGCCAGGCTAACACCAAATCAGCTAGACATCGACGTGGCCTCGTTATCCTCACGTGTTAGTCTATTTAGTGTGTTAGAAATTAAGAAATTATTTAGGGATTAATTTTAACATCCTTTTTTTATACTGGCCTATCAATTTTTAAGTGTTGGATTACTTAGAAGGCTCTCGTGTCAGACTTAGTTAAAATTAATACTGATGGTAACTTTCTTAATTCCTCAAATCGTACCGGAATAGATGATTTTTTTTCGCGATAGCCAGTGCTTGGACGATTTTTTTTAAAAAAATTCATTGGTCACATTTCTATAACACTAGTTGAACTGACAGTTGTTAAATAAAAATTCATAATTTTTCGAAACTGTGCGTGCAGTAAGTTAACTATAGAAACTGATATTCAAGAACCAGTAATAGAGTTTTGCGTACTCATTCATATTATAATATCATCATTGATATTTTTTTCTAGATTTGGCATTAACCGCCTCCAAATCTGGCTGCTATCATCCCTATCTATGATTTATTTTCTGACCCTCTTTGTTCAATTTTCCACCGTATAAAAAAAAACACCAAATCAACTAGCAACATATTTTTTGACACGTAAAAATGAATCATATCTCATGTTCTTTTTGCTGGACCAGAAAATGAATGGACCATCATTTAATATTTTAGAGCATGTTAGAATGGCGTGCAAGGCAAAATTGGACCATAAAGATTAAAGGGGCAACTGCAGTACCCCTTCTTTCTGAAATTCGCCGGCATAGTTTTTAGCCGAAAGGCTCGAAATCGGGGTTTTTTTTTATTCATCTTGAGTAATTTGAGTTACTTTCTAGTACTTGAAAGTACTCGAATTTGGGATTTGGAACCCAACATTAGGTTTTTAACCACTGGATCAACACGTAATTGGCTTGAGTTTGTTTTGAGTTTTGACCCTCTTCAGACCTCCCATGTGACTTTTATGCTTTCAGGTACAGGCATTTAATACCATAACGATGATGATGTTGAACCTAAAAAGGTTAAAAGTACTTGAGCTTTCACTTCTTACCTCTATTGTAAATTTGTAACACGTCACTGCTCCCTAATCACAGAAGTCAACCACAACATTTCAATGTTTTTTCCCTTGCCTGGTTTTTTTGGTAAAGAAAATTCCTAAATATAGAGGGATCGTATGATTACAGGTAAAGAAAAAAAGAAAAAAGAAAAAGTAAACAATAATAATAAACGTTTTTTTCTCTTTTATCTAGATATCTTCATTGAATGATTGTATCTATGAGTGAATCGAAATATGTTATTTTCTCTTTTATAAAGTGATATTTAAAAAAAATAAATAAACTTTTCATGTAGTTTAAAAAATTTATTAATTATAAATTTATAATGTCATATCAATAATTTTTAATTATATTTTTAAATACTTTTTTATTTAAGAAAAAAATCTATTCAATTTAATTATGAATTAAAAATACAGATTATTTTAAGAAAGTATAGTATTAAATTTATTTATTAGACAAATATTTTGGGATAAATATAAATAAAAAAGGAAAAAAATCTTTTTAGAAGAAAGAGGGTAGATATTAGATATCTTCATCATATCTATGACAAAATTGAAATTTAATACTGTATTTTTTTTATCAATAAACTGGTATATGAATTTATGAAACTATGGGATTAAAATTCTTTTCCAACAAGGGTAAAAATCTCTTATTTTTATCCTTTTGGGACACCAATCGTTCTATTTCATCTCTCCACTCTTAACTAGAGTCAGCTTTGATGAGGCCATTTCAGTAATTCAAACAATTCTCAATTTTGAAATGACAAACATATCCTTCCCAAAAAATTCCATGCAAGGCATCTCATATCTGCGTGCGGTAATGAAGACTCCACTCCAACTTTGTAATTGGAACGGTTAAGTTCGTAAACCCCTTTGTTGGCACTTGGCCAGATATTACTTCTTGCTCTGACAAATGAGAAGAAGTAAAATTTATTTCCAAATAGTACCAAAATTGACTATAAAACGACCATATTTCTCTCTCACGCACACAAAACTGAAAACCCCTTCTCTCTCTCTCTCTCTCTCTCTCTCTCCCACTCAGCCTCAGCTCTGTTCTGTGCCTCTTCATTTGATCAAAAGAAACAGAAGCATTGGCTGGCACAGATCGTGAGAGAGGAGAATTGGTAGGGTGAAAAGTAAAGATTTGTTGTTCTTTGCTTTTAAGGGGAAAAAGAGAGACGAAACAGGAATTCTTGAGCTGGCTTTTATAGCATTTGACTCAGTTTCCATGTAATGATAGCTCTCTTCAAACCATATAAACACCCCTCATTTCTACCACATTGTTTATAATTCCAAAAACCCTCATAAGAAACAAATTTGCTTTTTTGTTTTTTGCACTCATCTTGATTTTTCTTTCTGCCAATTTAGCCTATCCCCTGTTTTTCCTCTGTTTTTCTCTGCTCTTTTGGGATAGAGAGAGACAGAGAGATGGCTGAAGTTTCACCAAAGTTCATGATACCTGAATCGTTTCAGTTTCAGGTATCAAGTGTTGACATTGCAGGTCAGCTTACACTCATTTGGGAGCTAATCAAAGCACCATTGATAGTTCCTTTGTTGACACTTGGAGTTTACATTTGCTTAGCCATGTCACTCATGCTCTTCATGGAAAGAGTTTACATGGGTATTGTCATAATCCTTGTCAAGCTCTTTTGGAAGAAACCAGAGAAGCGTTACAAATGGGAACCCATGCAAGATGACATAGAATCTGGCAATCTTAACTTCCCTGTTGTTCTTGTTCAAATCCCAATGTTTAACGAAAGAGAGGTCTGTAATTCCTTCTTTGTTTCCTCTCTGTTTTCTTTATTTTCAGTCAGTTTGTTTTTTTCTTGTTACTTTATTCCTGGGATTTAGAGAAAAGTCCTCAAAGTCTAGTGCTTTTTCTTGCTTTTGGTCATATAATTATTGTGTGTTTTGGACAGGTTTACAAGCTATCCATTGGTGCAGCCTCTAATCTTTCCTGGCCAGCAGATCGTCTTGTGATCCAAGTCCTGGATGATTCAACTGACCCTGCCATCAAGGTAGTCAAAAATAACAAAACAAATCACTTTAGCCTTCTTTTATAATTCCTAGACATCCCTTTGCTTCTTGATTGGTTTTGATCACATGCCTGTCATTTTTGTATGCGATTACTTTTTGGTGATATGTGTGTTTGTTTTGTCACATTTTTTGCTAAGCTTAGTAAATTGATGTAGACTCCAAATTGGCTAATTGTAGTCCAAATTCGATACCGAAAAGAAAAAAGTTCAAATTTTGATCTGGGTATTGCTTATGCTTTAAATGAAACTCTATCCATTTTGGTCATTGGGTCATCTCCTGTCATCAATGCAGCAAATGGTAGAGCTAGAGTGTCAGAGATGGGCAAGCAAAGGCATAAACATAACGTACCAAATCAGGGAGAACAGAACAGGTTACAAATCTGGTGCTTTAAAAGAAGGCCTCAAGAGAAGCTATGTTAAACACTGCGAGTATGTGTGCATCTTTGATGCCGATTTCCAGCCTGAGCCTGACTACCTCATGCGTGCCATTCCCTTCTTAGTTCACAATCCTCAAGTTGCCCTTGTTCAAGGTCGCTGGAGATTTGGTAAGCTCACTCAACCCAGAAAAAAAAAATTGAAAAAAAGCAAAAACCCCACTAAAGCCCTAACGAAGCCAATTAATTACAGTCATTAAATTCAGTTGATTTCTATTTTCTTAAATTTCTAACATTATTTTTTGAGTGTCGGTGGTCTTTATATTTTTAGTTTGGTCTTTCTAATTTCTATATGCTAAGGAGACTGCTGCTGCATGAGGGTGATGATGTAGGGTCACCCACCAATCACGGGATGGGGACCACTTACACTTAGTCACTTGGTTTCTTCGATTGTTACACTTGGTGGTCTACTGACCGTCCATCTCGTGACAGCCCCGGAATCCACATGCAGAAAATAATAAAAAATTCTGATTAGTCGAGGGACTTTATATGATGCCACGTTTTTGCATCCTTTATTTTTTTTCCGAATTTTAAGGTATTAATAAATTAATAATAATTTACTAAAACCTTAAATGTTCCTATTTAAATAAAATACACGTGTCTTCATTTTCAAATTGAAGTTGCTGAAAACTGCAGTGGCATTTTAGTCATTTTATCACAAGAAAACAAGAATAGTCGGTTTTTCGTGCTTTTATATGAACGCCCCACGTTGTCCGGATCATATGGACACATCCCATGCTGTGGGGGCAAATTTGTCATTTAGAGTATCACTTAGCCTTCTGTTCTTCTAGCGGCAGCTAATCCATTCTCTAGTCACGTGAGTTTTTGCCCTTTTGGAAGTGAGTTCATAGATGGGGTGGGACCCTTCTTAAATTGCCGACACTTCCATTTTTTGTACTTTATGGTAAAAATAAAATCAAGTCCGTTACATTTGACAATGGGTGACACTTCTCAAAAAAGTAAACGGCTAGCCTTATTCATTAATTTAATATTTAATAAATTCCTCATAAATTGAGAAAATAAATATTTTAATCACATGGTTAATGATGATACCAATGGTTGTTAATTTTGAATTTTTTTGCAGTGAATGCAGACGAGTGCTTGTTGACGAGAATGCAAGAAATGTCATTGGATTATCATTTTACTGTGGAACAAGAAGTTGGGTCAGCTACTCATGCATTCTTTGGCTTCAATGGTAATTAACGAAATTTAATCCGCTCTATTTCCATTTTGATGACAGGGGACAGTGAAGTAGTTGGACAACTACCTTAGATGTTATGTCCTAGTGAGTGTAACTGGTAATAATGCAAAATGTTCAAGAATTTCAGAAATTTCTTTGGTTCATCGAGAGATTCATGAGTCTTGGGCTATACATGAGGATAATCTTCTCTTATTGTATAGTCATAAAAAAATTTTAAAGTCATTGGGACTCCGTACACAATGGCTAAGCTAAACTTATTTGTTGCCATTTTAGTCATTAGTCTTAATTAATAACTACTATATTATTGTGCTTAGGAGGTATAATAATAATAATAATAATAACTAAACATAAGCTGAAAATGTTACAGGGACTGCTGGAGTATGGAGAATTGCGGCCATTAATGAGGCTGGTGGATGGAAGGACAGAACTACAGTGGAGGATATGGATCTTGCAGTCCGAGCTAGTCTTAGGGGCTGGAAATTTATCTACCTTGGTGACCTCCAAGTACGTGATTAACTATCCATAAGCACCTAGATATTGTAGTTTTTTGACTTTCGTTTTTGTAATTAATGGATCATTTTTTCTGTAGGTGAAAAGTGAACTTCCTAGTACTTTCAAAGCTTTCCGGTTCCAGCAGCACAGGTGGTCCTGTGGTCCTGCTAATTTGTTCAGGAAAATGGTGATGGAGATTGTTAGAAATAAGGTTTGGATCTTTTTTGTCTTTTGTAATTAATTATCGCAGTATTTAGTGGGATAATTCTAATTAAAGTTAATTTTTTTATATTTCAGAAAGTTCAGTTCTGGAAAAAGGTGTATGTGATCTATAGCTTTTTCTTCGTTCGCAAGATCATAGCTCACATGGTGACCTTCACCTTCTACTGTGTAGTGCTTCCATTAACTATTTTGGTTCCTGAAGTTAAAGTTCCGATTTGGGGAGCTGTTTACATTCCTTCTGTCATTACCATTCTAAATTCAGTAGGAACTCCAAGGTAGGGTCATTTTTCTAATCTACTCGTAAATTTTTAGGTCGACTTGCAAGAATCAAAGCAGAACTAATAACATATCCTTGAATGTGCAGGTCAATTCACCTATTGTTTTACTGGATCCTTTTCGAAAACGTTATGTCTTTGCACCGGACTAAGGCAACGATTATCGGTCTGCTAGAAGCAGGGAGAGCCAATGAGTGGGTTGTCACTGAAAAACTAGGAAATACACTTCAGAAAGCAGCAGATGCCAAGAAAGCAAACCCCAAAGCAGCCAGAAAATTTCGATTCAAATTTACCGACAGGTAATAATCCTTTATCCCAAAACAAAATTTTACCTGTCACACATTATACTTAGCTTACCTACATAACTTTCAAGTTTGCCTTATAGTTTTTTAATTTACAGTGAAGGGAGTTGTGTCAGTTTATGAATGGTAGGCAAATACCAAACTAACAAAATCTAAATGCCATGTTATAAAAACATTATATGCAAGGTGACCAAATCCCACCATTCTAAAGTACAAATTTGGTTGTTTTTTTCCTTCTTTATTGTAGTAGTTGAGAATCTTTGCATTGATATAGAAAAACATTAACCAGAGAGCAAAGAAGTCAGAGGTTTAATTTATGTGGATTTGTTGATGGAATCGGTTAGATGAGACAAGGGACCTACGCTATCTACTCCAGATTATTCAACAATTTTGCAGTAGACCCAATATATATAAATTTGTTTTTATTCTTTTAACATTGCATTTTGCTTTTTCTTTTGATTTTTTAACAGGCTCAACACTTTGGAGCTTGGATTTTCAGCATTCCTTTTCTTTTGTGGATGCTATGACTTTGTTAATGGAAAGAACAACTACTTCATATACCTTTGGCTCCAAACTCTGACCTTCTTCATCACTGGAATTGGATATGTTGGTACCATTATATAGCAGCAGAAGCAGAAGCATCCATGGTGACATACAAAAACAGCAAAACCCTCTTTGTGTATGTCATGCTGCCATTTGTGTTTTTATTTTTTCTCCTCTACAACACAATATATAATTAAGTGGGGGATCTGTGAGCAACATTTGATTGCAATTCCTGCTATTTTAGCCCATTCAAGAAAAAAAGAAAAGAAAATAGGTCATTCAACATGTTGGCACAAAATTTATAGCCAATTCCTTCAGAAAATTTAGTGTGAATCATTCTAGTGAAAGTAGAAAATACCAAAAAGAGATGCTGTTTTTGTGGAAACACATCATACAGATTCAAGAACAAAGAAGAAGAGAGACAGCATTAGGCAACAGGATTGTTATTTCAATTAAATAGATTGCTTGTAATCGTGAGATTTTGTTCTTCTTTTCCCCCATTGTTAGTTTTCCTTAGTTAAGAGAATAAGTTGATGAAAGGAAATGGTGTATTTGTAGTCAAAAGTTAATTTATTTTTTCCCTTGCTTTTCACATGCTTCCTTTGCCCAATTACATTTTACGTACTAATATTTTGTCAATGAGGCATTAGTCCAGTGGTTTAAATCCTCAAGGTTAAGAGTTGGACTGGTCTAAAAACCTCCATCCCTTAAATATGGGCTCTGAAAACAAAACAAAACTAGCAGTCTTTTGATGGAGAATTTTAATGAGCTCCAGAAAGAACTTTCTGTACTGAAACAAACATCTACTGCTGTGTATTTTTGTCAAAGAATTCCAGACTCTTAATTCTAGTAAATTTTTTGTCGGTGAGAATTTCATTAAGGGAAGAAAACAAATTGTTTGGGTCCTTATTGATGGCCTGTAATGTATGGCTCCTGCTACATTGTTCTTTCTGCCATCATTGAAACAGAAAGGAAAAATAATATAGCTTTCAACATTCATTATGTACTTACTTTTTTTCTTCTGAATTTAGTTCTGTTGTTAAAGAACATAATATAAATCATTTTTCTGGCTTCATCTGTCAGAAGGAGAAAAATAAAGCAAAAAAACTCATGAGAATGGGCATAGCATTTATTATGTACATGCTTGATGGACAACCCCACCCCCTCTTCTCTTTTTTTAATTTTACAAAGGGATAGGATCCTGCAGCTATAATCAGTTGTTAGATATTAAGAGACTAAGGTTAGTAATTAGCTGGGCAAAAGAGGAGAAGTATTACCACGATAACTCGTGATTTTTTGCAAACGTAAAGAGTTTACTATCACTAGATTAGAAGATTATTATGCCTAATGGGCCAATTAAATCATTGCATATTTATAATTGGTAATATTGCAAGCAAGCATTATATGTTATTCTTGCAATAACTGTTTTGACACTTACTTTCTGGCCTAGGTTCATTGGCCTAAGTTCATTTTAGTTTCCTCAATCCAAGTGCCTGACAATTTAGTGCTCACCTTCCTTTATCGTTCCTGTTCTTTGTTTTGCTTTAGAAGGTAATTTTTATTTTTATTTTTATTTTTTGACATTAGAAAGTAGACAATGGCCTGGCACATCCACATGGATACTTTTCATGCCTGGTGCCAATCATTTATTGCCTGTGACATGAATTATGTCTCACAAGCCATCCAATTTAGACACTATAGAGTCATGTTTTCTTCCTACTTGCTTTATGTGCATTTGTTTTATGTGTTAAACCCCTTCGTCATCTGCAAGGTTAATTTTGTTTTAAGGAATGACCTTTCAAATGATTAGACTTAAAAGATGCTTCATGTCGGTCCCTTTCTTCTACTGGAAGTGTCCATATTATATGTGCTAAACTTTTTTGCACTTGAATCAATGAAAGGATAGGGTGCAAAATAATAGTCTGCAATGGATAAATATACTATTTAACTGCATTCTGATCAGAAGCCAGAGATTTGTAATTTACTATATCCTAACCGGAAACAATATAAAAATGAGTTTTAAGAGCAAATAATTACCATCTTAAAAAGTTACAACGCTTAGTCAGAGATTACGGAAACTTCCAAAGCAAGTTGTTGTGATAGCTTTTTTGTGAGAAAACAATGTGCTTAGATCATTACTCCCATTCCCCCATCACTCTTTTCTTTATGTTCTTTTATGATTTTGGGGGTGGAAGTATTTAAATATATAGGAGAAAAGAAATCAACTCTGAAAACCCTCTATTTTAAGCCTTTTTGCAACTAGATTAATACCTTATTACTGGCCACATTCTGCCCATTTATTTATACCAATTTTTGTTCATTAAAGAAAGATCATGGGGTGATAAAACTAATGAGTAATGCCTCATCTGCTACATTCTCACATTTATTTGGCACTGTGTGAAATATTACCAAATCTTGTACACTAATAAATGGTCATGGCAAGGCAAGCGTAACTAATGCTAACCACTGAACTGAGCAACGGTGCCATTAAAACTGCTACTACCATAGCAGAGCAGAACTTGTCCCTACCAACAAACATCAAAGGCAAAAAAATACCCACACGCAAAAGCAGAACACAAGGTGGATTGGTGGTGTATATAAATGTGACAACCAACCTTCTGTTCGTTTTCTTCTGATAAATAACAGCCAATCTTTATTGGGTTATCTTTCCTTCCAATAATTGTGTGAAAGAATCCTATATTTGATTGAGACAAGTAGTGGCTACCCTGCTGTTGGCACTCTTCGAACATTAACGCCCATAGCATGCACGGTCCCCCAATTGGCTAATGAAATTGGTAGAATAACAAGCAAAAGTTTTGAAGCAATAGCGTAAATAAATCTCTGTATTACATTTGTCCATTCAAGGAAAAGCAAGCATTGGGGTAACTATCGATTGAATGATTGAGTCACAAAAAGAATCATCCCTCCTTGAAATGGCAAGGAAATTGCGACCGGCTGAAAGCTTAGTATCACCTAAATCTTTAAATTTTTACGCATTATTGTTTATAGGATTTTAACCTAGAACTTAGTATCACTTAAATCATTTTTCCCTTACATCAAAATTAAAAATTAGCCATCGCAGAAAAGTAGAATTGGGTAATCTTTCTCGTTTAAAGACATTACAGCCCACGTTAATGTCAAAAAGATCACTCGATTATACTTGGTTTGCTGAAGCAAGTAACATGGTTTCTTACAGATAGGAGAATGTGAACAATCTTTTCTTTTCTTTTTTCTTTTTTTTTTTGTTCTTTCTTTAAAGTAAGCAAAGCATGCTAGAATTGACTGTGTGTTTGGTCCTCTAAAGCACGGTTGAATCAGCGAAATTTCCTCTACATGTCACATGCACTATGCCCTTTTAAAATCCAGAACGTTAGCCAAGATGAATCTTTCACCATAGTTACAAGTTATAATAAATTTTTTATCTTCTATTGTCCAAATTCTAAGATCATTCTCCAATCAACTTATGACATTATTATTATACTAACGTTTTCAAGGATCTGAAAACAACTTTCACATGTCTTACTCCAGAGATTTAAGAAATTACAAATCAGTCAGTTGAAACGTCATCTCGCTTGGCTGTCTTTTGTTTTTGTGGCCTTTTTGGAACCAGCACTGGCTTTAGTCTTGCCATTCTCCAATAATAGGATGACATATCTAACATCGATGCATCGGGTTCCCTTACTCTTACTGACCAAAACGTGGGAGACCTTAGGCCCCATTTTTCTGCTACATGGGGTCAGTTCCTTTTATGGCAATATATTCTCAAGCATCTTATCCATATTCTTTTCTCACCATGAGAAGTCAATTTCTTCGTTACCCACCTGCCTCGCTTCTCTTTTTTTATCCAACGGTTGCAAGTGAATGATCCTAGGTTGTATAGAGTTTTCAGAAGACAGGAGAGTTTTCTCTCCTATAATGTAACCTACAAAGGCCCTGAACTAATGTTCCAGAAACTCATGCAGGTCCATATCTAATTCGTACTATTTAGAAGGCCCATCCTTTCGTTTTAATATGCACGAGGAAGCCGCCTGGGTTGCAAAAACTATTACTGACTTGAAGAACCCAATAGAACGGCGAGCAACGCAACACAGCTCTACCATTAATGGCTGCGGTTTTGTGTTTTCGACTCGGTTTCTTTGTTTTTATTTATTTTTTTAAATATAAGATTTTGCTGTCACAATTAAAGTTAATAGTTAATAATTAATGAAGCAAAAAAATACTGAATTTATCGTCGTTATAAAAATGAAAGACTATTCTAATTTTCTTTCATAATAATTTTTTTTTTTATAAACTCAACTATTATAAATATATAATTTGAACCCAAAACCTCTCGTATATACAAAAAAAAAAAAACTCACTGTAAACCGGTTGATCAATTTTTTTTTTTTTTAAGCATATTAATTTTGACTCGATTTCGAATGGAAAGAAATTAGAATAGCTGACAGAAAAATGCAAGATCATCTATTATTTGAACCAGTTGATTAATTATGAATGAGTTTTTTCCATTGGTTTGGTTGGGTCAGCCGTAGCCATATTTCGTTGAATTGATGGCCTAAAGGGTTAGTTAAAGAACCCTATATGGATCTCACCAAGATTTCGGTTCAACAAATTGGGCATGTCCGGTTTGACAACAATAAGTTCAAGCGCCATCGCACTGTTCACACCGTTTCATTTTAAAGAAAAGTCCTCTTTTTTATTTTTATTTTTTCCTTAAATATTTAACCGACGTCGTTCAAGGCTAATTTTGTTTTAAGGAATAACCTTTCAAATGATTAGACTTAGAAGATGCTCCATGTTGGTTTCTTCGGCTTAAAGTATCGATTTTATCTGTGCTAAACCTTTTTTCAGTTGAATCACTGAAAGGACAGGGGGCATAATTAGCTGCAATAGATCGACAATATTATATAAGCAGCTGCATCACCTAAAAGAACTATGATGTCTAATTTCATACAACATATAAGCTTTCTCTACCAACATCAAATGGGAAAAAATTGTTCTATAAAAATAAAAAGCAAAGTAAATAACGAAATTATGTAATCATTGTCTTTAAGGATATTAATTTAATTTCTCATAATAAAACCAATTCTTCTGAAATTAAAATCAAGAGCAAAAATAAAGAGAACTTAGCAAATATCTATGGAGCAGAGAGGGAGATCAATTTTTTTTTTTTTTTGGTGTGCCTCAATATTGATAACATGTGTGGTATTTATAGGTTAATTTACACTGATTTAATGAGAGAGAAATGATAATAATAGTGAATTAAGATATGTGAATACTATAAAAAATATGAATCGATAAACGGTCATAATAAACCTATTTCATGATATCAAAAATAGAAGTTATTTTGAATAAATTCAGGTTTAGGCTAAAAAATTTAAATAAATGAATTAAAAAAAAGAAATTTAGATTGAATTTTGTTATTGCGTGTAAGGGATAAATTAATCGTTTTACCTTAGCGTAACCCAATTCATCCGTGAACGAGTTCAATTCACCTTTTACAAACTTATAACATACTTCTCTTGATAAAATATTATCTTATACTTTTTTTTTTAACGATATAAAATGAAAGGTTTTTACAATTTTTTAAAATATTCACAATAAATTTACCCACAAAGACACAACAAAAAGTGGATTCGTAGCATAAATGCTACCAGAAACTTTTTTGTTCTGGTAAATAACAGCCAATCGTTATCGAGTTGCTTTGATGTATATTTCCAATTATTGTGGGGGAGTAGCCCTACATTTGATTGAGACAGATATGGGCTACCCTTCTGCTGACACCCTTCAGGCATCAGCACCCAAAAAAAGGAGTCCCCAATTGTCTAATGAAGTGCCCTTCTCTATTTGTACAGTGACAACGAATAGCTTTGCGGCAATAGCATAAATCTTTGCAAGGCAGTTGTTCGCTACTCATAGAAAGCAAGCCTTAGGGTAACTAGTGATTTTATGATGGCCTTTTATATCAGAAAGGGTAACCAGATTAAGAAAGTGGACGAACCAAATTTTTAGTACACTTCTCTGTGATGGGACTAATTTCCAAGCAAGTTGGAGATCAACCATGCTGTCGGGCTACTAGTGATTGTAATGGATGGTCTTCAAAAGCGTATCTATGAGAAGTTCTTGTTGCATAGTGAAAGAGCTTGAAGTGAGTGACAGTGACTTCTTAGAAATTATAAATTCAAATTTTAACAAATTAATTCTATTAGTAATCATAAACATGTGAGTTAAAAAAAAAAAAATCAATTTATGTTTTTTTTTTTTTATACCTTTCCCTTTCATTTTTGCAGTGAAAACAAGACTTGTATAGATATTATGAGTTTTAGCAATTCAATATTTTTTTTTAACAGGGAAAAAGATGTTATGAGTTTTATTTCACGAAATAATTAAAAATTAGATATTGGAGAGAACTAGAAAATGAATAATGTTTGGTTCTTTTCTGTGCTTAAATATGCCAAAAAAAATAAAGTTTGATTATTTTGAATTTTGTTGAATTTTGTCCATGTTCAACCGAAAATTAGTTTAAAATAATCAAAATTTCCAGTATTTCATCGATTTTTCAATATTCCATACGAATTGTTAGCAATTATAATATCACATTTTATTTGTCTGCATAATTGTTAGATGTTATATATATATTAAAAAAAAAAGAATAAGCAAACTAGAAATTATGATACTTTTAGAACCAAACACCTCCTTTAACTGCATGTTTTTTTAATCTAGTTATATGAAATTATTATAATTATTAAGAATTTGACAATATTTAATAAAATGATTTAATTTTAATTATTATTATAAACTATTAAATTTCAAAACAATTACTTTTTTATTAAATATATGGCATCACGTTTATCTACTTGGATCCAATTCAATTATTTATTTATTTTTAATTTCAATAACTCACAAGTTCAACTAACTCTTTTCTAAAATATCAAGCAAATAAATGAAAAAATAAAATAAAAATTAGAAACGCTTTCATTTGTATATCATTGTAGACAATGCTATCCATATTATCTATAGAATTTAATCCTTGGGAAATGCACCTGGTGTTGATTGAGTAGCTTCAGTAGTATGCTGTACAAAGTGCGAACCAAGTAACTCTACAGGTAAGCTTACAAATTCACAACGAGAGGCATCATCTTACCGAAGAGGTTAATGAAATATTTATCGGTCTCATTAGTAAGTAGAACCTAGCTATAGTTTGTGAAGTATAAGGTTAATGAAATTGTCGATCTCATCCGCAATTAGAACCGTGAATTAGCTATGTAGAGTTTGTGCAGTATGGATTGAGATTGAATGCGCCATTTGTAAAATGATATATTTGTGTTTTATAAAAGTGTGTTTGAACTTAAAAAAAGTCGAATTGATAGTTTTTTATATTTGTTTTGATGTTTTTGATATTAATATGTTAAAACAGTCTAAAAATATTTTAAAAGCATCAAATTAATGTTTTTAACTTCCAATAAATTTTTGAAAAACACTTTTAAATATAGTATAATTGCATTGCCAAACACAATCTAAATTTAAATGTCAAACAGTGGATAAGTGGTAATTTCTAGGAGTTGATTGTCCTTGTGCTAAGGTATTTTGGAACAAAATTAAACTATAACCTAGCTCTGGGCCCTTTTTTTTTTTTTCCTCCAATAATAACATGATCTGTCCATTCTAAAATATGGTACCCTACTAACTATAAGGAGTGGCTTAGTTGTAGGAGGTTTGAACTTTCAATCTTGAGAATAAATAATCAAATTTTACTTCTCGTGGCTACTACAAAACTTATATCAGTTTTTTTTTTTCCCTCAATTTCAAGAGTGTGAGAGATTTGGAACCTTGGGTTTTAAGATTAATCTTTTACAGAAGATGGTTGAAAAATAATTAGTTTTTGGGTTAAAAAAAAAATAGGTACGGTACACTTCTATTGCTGACCGGCCAATGTGCTTCATATATATAGCGTAATGACCCCACAAATGCCTGCTTCAGCTTTCCCATTTCCATGGTTCCATCAACTAAATTTGAGTATCCAATCTTAGGTCCCCATATTTGTTAATGGGATAATGGCACAACCCAGCACTAGAGTCTAGAGTATGCTCTTCTAGTATATTAGATCTTCGGATTAAGATTGTTAGATAGGCCCAACTCGTCAAAATAAGGGCGGAACAAATAGGGGAACTGGAGACCTTTGCGTCTCGCCTAACGCTCTTTTCAGCAGGCTTCTGGCCAGACTCGGTCCTTTGGGCCTTGAATTAGTCATAACTCACAAGTCCTTACACAGAGCAGACTAAGCCGAGCTAAATGGGGAATCAATGAACTCAAAAGGGAGAAAGAAAACTATCAGCATGATGTAATTTTAGATGGCTAAATTGTAAAATATCTCCCAACTTGATATATATATATATTCTGAACTAAAATTTATTGATTTTACCAATACGATTTTTTCTGCTCATTTTTTAGGAAATTATTGAGAAATTGACGGAAAAACTCATAAAAATTCTCTCAATTCCTATATGCAGATCAATAAAAAATACAATTCCAATAATTTTCTCTATCAATGTAAAGAAAAAAAAACATATTTACTCATAGAGAAAAAAAGAATTTAGAAGTTTATTCATCAATTTTTCAATAAACTCTGCAAAGAACGAACAAATTGAAAAAAGAAAAATCATATTATTTAAAGAGGAAAATCAGAGATTTTTTAGTTTAGGAAAATATTTTTTTTTTGGCTCAAATTCGGAATGGTATTTTACTATTTAGCCTTTTACATTTCCATGATATAAATTATGTTACTTTTATTGTATTTAGGTGGTATTACGTAAAATAAAATCTTTTGTTAAAATTGAACTCATTCAACCGTGTGTTATTAAAAAACTAGCACTCATTTAATTTTAAAGATGTAAATTTATATTTTATCGTAACTTGTAAAAATAGATCTTTTTTTAAATTAAACTAATCATATAATTTTTTTCCAACATTGTTATCATTGTTTCTTAACATAATCGACTGAGATGCAAAATAAATTTACTATAATTGAATAAAACTAATCCGCATTTGTTTTTGCAAGATGAGTCATAATATCCAACAATAAAGCATAAACGCACATTGACATGTAAATCGTATGCCCTACAAAACATAGATAAACCTAATAGTAATCTACTAGATATTACAAGGAAGCGTTTGTAGTCCAACGGTCAGGATAATTGCCTTCCAAGCAATAGACCCGGGTTCGACTCCCGGCAAACGCAGTTTCTAATTTCTTTAGATTCTTTTTTAAGAAACAGTAAAATAGATAAATGCTGGCTGTGGGGTTCGAACCCACGCGTGCTTATGCACAGAAGATCTTAAGTCTTCCCCCTTAACCTCTCGGGCAAACCAGCTCCATTGAACCCTTTTTCCCGGTTATTTAATAACAAGTATATCAGTGTATTTATCTCACCGTACATGATATTCGCAGAAACATCTAGAATATTGAAGATAAACGGCGGTAATCTCATAACACCGCTCCGTGTGACAGTCAAGTCTCTAACGCAGCATTTCTTCTTTGGCATATAAATAAGAAAACGAAAACAAAGAGAGAATTTCCGGGGAATCAATGGCGGAGCACTTGGCGTCGATTTTCGGAACAGAGAAAGACAGAGTGAACTGTCCGTTTTATTTCAAGATCGGAGCTTGTAGACACGGTGACCGATGCTCTCGTCTACACACCAAACCAAGCGTCAGCCCTACGCTTCTCTTATCAAACATGTACCAGCGTCCTGATATGATCACCCCTGGTGTTGATGCCCAGGGTAACCCGATCGATCCTCGCATGATCCAGCAACACTTTGAGGTGATTATGACTCTAATTTATTCAGTTATTTATTCATTTTGTAATTGAGTTTCGAGGAATTAATTGTTTGAAATTTTCAACCGGAATTAATTACAGGAATTTTATGAGGATCTATTTGAGGAGCTAAGCAAATATGGAGAAATTGAGAGCTTAAATGTCTGTGACAATCTTGCTGACCACATGGTATATTTTCTTGAACTGGAAATTAGAATTTCGTTTTTTCTGTTTGTATTTTATGACTCATTTTTATGTTTTATCGTAGGTGGGTAATGTTTATGTTCAGTTCAGTGAGGAAGACCATGCTTCCAAGGCACTTAAGAATTTGTCTGGGAGATTTTATGCTGGTTAGATTCTGCTTCTGTTTTCTCGTTTTTATGCTCATTTTTAGGTTTTACATATAATTTTGTAGTTCTCTTTTTTTGTCTTCCAGTTGCCCAAGGGGTTTTTTTTTTTTTTTTTTTTTTTTTAAATCTGAATGTCGATGACTGCAGGTCGTCCGATTATTGTGGATTTCTCCCCAGTGACTGACTTCCGTGAAGCGACCTGTAGGCAGTATGAGGAGAACGCTTGTAACCGTGGTGGGTACTGCAATTTTATGCATCTTAAAAGAATTGGCAGGTAATGATGGATATTTATTTAAGTTCCCTTTCATGGCATGGAGTTGTTTTGTGTTGGCAATTATTTTCTTGTTTTTGTTGATGTTAGGGAGTTGAGGCGTCAGTTATTTGGGAGTTACCGAAGCCGAAGTCGAAGCAGAAGCAGAAGCCCGTACAGGCATCGTAGCTACGAAGAGCATTCGCATAGTGGGCGTGGTTCTAGTCGAAGATACGATGACTGGGAGCGGTATTGTGAAAGTCGGAGCAGGAGGCATAGGAGTACAAGCCCTGGACACCGGAGAGGACGAAGTAGAAGCCCTGGGGGAAGGCGCAAACGAAGCCCAGTTAGGGAAGGTAGCGAGGAGAGGCGTGCTAAAATTGCACAATGGAACAGGGAAAGGGAACTGCATGAAGAAACATCAAAGAACGTCAATGCTGACAATGGTAACAATGACAATGGGCAAATGAAAAATGGGAATAACTATGAATATCAGCAGCAGATACCACCGGAGCAAAGAGAATATGGATACTGATCTGCTTTAGATGTCTGGTTCGTTTTCTCTCTACTCTAAATCATTTCCATATTCCACCTGCTGAAGTAGGATGGTCTTTTCCAGCCAAAGACCGAACATTCAATAAATCTACCTTACAGCCCATTTTCCACTTTGCAGGTGGTGTGCAGGTTCCCAATTATCGTTTTAGATTTCTTTCTTTCATTTGGTCTTTTTTATCTCTTAACTGCATCGTTTGTGCTTGACTGTGTGCTTCATTTCATGACGAGCTTAATTGTTTTTGATTCCCATTTTTTCGGACTGGATTCTTATAATCAACATTGAAAAGATTCCAAAATAACAGAATTATTGGTTCCACTTTCTTTTTATGCCCAAGTGTTTATATGGATAAAACGCTTTGCTAGTTTTATTGTCCAATCCGATTTCTTGGAAAATTCTCCAAATCTTTTGTTAAAATCTTTGTAACTAGCAAGGCTCCATACGACAGGCTAATGTCATGGCTGGTACGTTTTTGTTATATCAAAACTAAAATGGAACCTCAAACTGTTTGCTGCATATTTGAAGTTTGTGTTTTTAGTCTGCGTATGCATTACAGTTGGGGACTCTAGGACCACAGCACTTTCAGGCTAGTGCACCATCAAATTTCACGGTTCTACATTGGGTTTTGCTTCTTGAACTCTCTTTTATTTTTATTTTTATTTTTTATGAAAAAAATAAATTGAGATCTCAACGTGTTAATGAGTTTTGCAGGTTCAGGTAGCCCTGCTTCTTCAAGACAAGCCATTATTTTAACTGCAGCTTACCATGAAATTTGTGTACAGGTTGTTGGGTCCAGTGTCGGAGGATTGGTTTTATAGGATCTATCAGACTACAGTCCAGAAGCATCCACGGTTTTAGCGATATGTCTTGTTTCAGGTTAGGAGTCGCAGTTGCATTCTTCTGTCTTGTAGGGGCGGCCCTACCCTATGTACCTGCTCTGAATATGGTGGTGTTAGACGATTCTATATTTTGACATTAGTAGTTTGCACAAGATTTGGAAAAACGAAATTTCTATCGTTTTCCTGTGTGTTCTAATTTGTGTTGATGTAGCTGATTATTGGTTATTCTGTAAAATGATGTTGATTGCCCAAAATTATCACTTTCTTAATGCCTCTTTGCTTGTATGGATGGGTTATTTTCACACAAGGATTGTGTACAGTGACTTTGCTCTTTGGCCTTCTATTGTATTGTGGTAATGTACCAGAAAACCGTTGTGGTCAGCTAGAAGCAACTTACGCCATCATATGTCATATCGACTCTAAAATGGAGAAGGGCCAAGTTGAACTATTTTTGTTTATGAATGTTGTTTTGACAAAACAATTCATTTGTTTGCTACAGATCATATACTATAATCTATATGCTATATTGGTGATTAGGATTTAAATATGGAAAAGACTATGTAATTGGTGTTTTATTAATCATTTAATTTTATAATTTTTCTATTAAATACGATAAGAACAATATTTTATGATTCAAAGTTGTTTGCTACATAATTTAATGAGCAAAACTCAGGTTCCTGACAAAAAAGCGAAAAAGGGTAAACTGAAATAATTACGAAGTTAGCAAAAGTAGAAAGATGAATATATTGTTCGCAAGAGTGATGATTTTTCAATATAGACGTAAACATTCTTTCCTCTAAATTTCGTTATCTTAAAGCTGGTGAAAGGGTTGAACTCGACACCCTTTAAAAGCACTTGCTATTAAACACTCTAAATCACTGAAACTTGAAAACTTGCATGGAATGGTTTTGCTCCTGCTGTGATAGAAGCCCAGAACCCCTTCTCGTAAGGAGGAGACATTAATCCAGAGTTTAATCTCCCCGTATCAGCTAGTCACCAGTTCAAGTTAGAAGATATGAACGAATAACTCCAAATTGCAACAATCCATATCAAAAGAAGGGAGTGCAAAAACTACAGACATTTGAATAGACACAGAAATGGGAAGTGATCAAATGCCCAAATTATGGAACATTGGAGCATCTGAACACTTGCAGACTCGTTTAAAGAGCTTTTGGTTTACTCAGTCCGAAAGCCAGTGATCAAAACATCACCTGCAGCTAATGATAATTTCTAGGATAAGCAGCTAACTGGAAATTCTGTGATGATTTTTTCAGCCACATTAAATAATGTAGTAATTCGAACATAGTAACACTCAACACATCACAACTGCTTCAATTAACTCCAAAAATAATGCATCCGAAATATTTGTTCAAATGTAGATCTCTAACAAAAATACAAAATAAACCTCTCATTTACTCCGAGAAAACTTCCAAAACCCTATGACATAGTTCTTTCAATGAGATATCATCTAAAATTTAGTAGTAGTTCACTTGCTACCATGCTTGGCTTGTGAGTGAGACTTCAGAGCACCATCAGTGCCAAATGACCTGTGCAGGAAACATAAGCAGTTAGTCACACATTCAAGTCACGTAGGTATAGGGACTTTTTTTCTAGAATGTTGCATGAGTACATACTTGTCACATGATTTGCAAGAGAAACTGCCACCAGATTTGGGAGACTTGGAACTGTTGCCATTTGCTGCAGCTTTTCCCTTTGTGGGGTGCGGAGTTACTTGCACAGGCTTCTTAACATCTTGATCAAGCAAAGAAATGCAGTGTGTCAGAATGAAGAAAATCATACATAATTCATATGCATCGGTAGAGTTGACAGAAGCAAGAAAATTGTCCAAACAAAAAGGAAACAGAACCGAAAAAGGACACCGTTGTCTCAGAAATTGTAAAAGAGACTCAACACAAGGATACTTCCACAATGGATTATTCCATAGGATATAATCAAAGAATGTTCAATGAAAAAAACATAGCCAGTCCATCCCAAGAAAACAAAGATAAAACTCTATAGCACCAAAATAATTTATCTTGAAATTGAATAGGATTCATGCAGCTTCAAAAAAAAAGGCACAGAAGATATGCAACCAAACAATCATAAAAGAATATTAAAAAAAACCTGTCTTCTGAGGAGTAGCTGTTTTAGACTTCTTTGAGGACACTGGTGTCTTTGTTGCAGACTCATTGGGCCTCTTCTTGCTTTGCTCAGCCTTCAAAGCATAAAACAAATTAAAAACAAACCAACGAAAAATAGTTATCTCATTTCATTCCAAAATGACAATCAATAGAGAAATTGATACCTTCTTGGGAGTCTCTTCATCTTCACTATCAGACTCGTCATCCAAATCTTCATCAATAGACATACCCTGCAATACCAAAACTTGATCAATGATTCAGAAGCCATAATATATGAAGGGAAAAAAAGATTCTACATTATCTTATTCCATAACAATTAGGTTACTTTATAAAAACTAAACCCACCTAAAACAGCATAATACTTCCTGAAATTACCACCTAAATGAAAGTAAAAAACCTAAGTGTAAGATCCCGGTCAACATCTTTGTTTAGTGCCACACATATCTCTGATTTGATCACAACAATCTAAAGCAGATAAAAAGCCTATCTCTGCTAGCTTATGGGAAAAAGATAAAGTAAGGTTCATGTCATCCAGTTACAAGGAGATACCTCTTCAGAATCACCATCCTCATCAGAATCATCCTCGTCAGAATCATCATCCTCGTCAGAATCATCATCATCAGATTCGCCTTCTTTGGTTGGCTCTACAAGAGTAACCTTTGGTTTTTCAGGCTTGGCAGCTTTATCCTTAGCTGTAGCAGCCTTCAGAATATCATCTTTCCCAAGTTCAAAATCCTCTTCATCACCAGAAAAATCTGTATGCATAGAGAAAACCAGCAAAATTAGCAAAATAAAGTTAGAAAAGGCACATCGTCAGTATGCATTTGTAAGGACTCACCAGAATCATCATCCAAGGGAACAGCAGCTTGGTAACCACAGAAGAAAACACTCCCATTTTTCCAGTTGTGAGAGAGCTCAAACTCTTTCTCAAAAACTAAATCAAAAGACAACTGAGGGATATTTTCAGGAGATAGGGTCCCCAACACAAGCTTCTTATCATCGAATTTTACAAAAAGGGGAACTGAATCCTTTCCTTTCTTTGACTCACCGAGAGCAGCCTGGAGAACAAAAGGTAACAAAACATTGTCAACGGAAAAATCTAACGTCAAAATAATTTCAGCACTAGTGGCATATTTCAATTAAGGTAAATCTTACCTGAGAAAGATGTATCATGTAGAAGTCTTTGGGTTCCACTTTAAGAGGCTCACCAGCCTTAACTTCAACACCTAATAAAATAGAGTTATGTAACATTAGTAAATTGATATAATACCAACAATAGCCCTCATTACACAACAAGTAATAGGTATTAAGAAACAGGACATCCAAAGAATGTGCGAGCTTGCATCAGACATTCCACACAATACAGGGAAAAATAAAACCACACTTGCCCTTAATGCCAATGCCAAGCTAGTAATAATCATGGTTCATCAGAGCACACAATTAGAAAAATTTTAGACAAAATCGAACGCAAAATAAATGAAATAGAGTGAATAGCAATTCAACAACTTACATATCATAATACCTAACACGAAAATGGTGAAAACAGTAGGAACTAAACTATAACCGTTAGTTAAAAAACTAAAAATAGCAATATTTATTATCTTGTAAAAAATACAGAGAGGGAAAACAAAACACACTGCTTCAAATTACAAAGCAAGAATAAATAAATAAAACGAAACCAAAAAGAAAACCTAGTAAAAAATCAAAACTTAAGCTCAAAAAATAAAAACACCCAACAACCCCAAAAACCTAAAGCCCATACAGTAAAATCCTTCAAAAATGTATTAAAAAAAAAAACAAAAAAGCATCTCTGAACAACATAGATAAACACAGAAAGCAAAGGACTAAGCAATTGCTAAAATAATACATCAAAAGGGGGGTGATATTAAGAATAAAAACAGGACAGAAACATCAGGATAATATTAAGAATAAAAACAGGAACAGAGCATAAAAAATGATTCCTAAAACGAAGAAGAGCAAGCAACTGCTTACCCCAGAACTCCATGGACGACATAGTTGATGAGAAGAGAGAGAGAGACTAAAAGGCTTTGAGCTTCGAAGGAGACAGACTCTGCGTGGAAGCTACGAGAGTGAAAGAGGCGGAGTGAAGGTAGGGTTTAAAGGGCTTTTATAAGCCACTTGCCGCGAAGGAGTTAGGGTTTTTCAAGAGAAGGGAAAAAAAAAATTGTGCGTGTCAGCTGTCACCGTTAGGTTTGTAGGTTTTGGGCCAATGTCGTAGGCTCTAATTAAGCCCATTATTTACTGGACTCCTTTACGGTCTACTTTCGGCCCATTAAAATCTCGATATTAAAACGACATCGCTTTTATCGTAGTGCGGAACCACCAGCCTTGATTAATAGTCTCCTCTCCTCCTCCTCCTCCTCGTTTCTCTGTCGCAGCCGTCAAACAAGGACGCGGACTGTTGCTTTCTCTCCGTTTCGCGATTTAGTTGTTTCTGAGGTAATGAACAATATTTTTCCATTTCTTTTCATCTGAAAGAAAATATTTTTCCATTTCTCCTTTCATTTTTTTTTACTGTTTTTATTAGCAGAGTGATTGAAAATTTTTTATTTGTAAACCCCAAAAATGAGCAGATCGATCTTGAAAAGGCAAAAGAGATGGATTACACAGCACGAAGAAGTGGAGGAGGTGTGTTCGAAGGTATCTACAAGTTGATTATGCGCCGAAACTCCATCTACGTCACCTTCGTCATAGCCGGCGCTTTTGCCGGTGAGCGGGTAAGCATTTTCAATTTTCATTTTATTTTAGGATTTTTTTTTTAAATGTTTGATTGGGTTTAAAATTGGAAAATTTAGTAGAATTATTGACAGACTTAATAAACAGATGCTCTAACGTATTCAAGCATTTGAATTTTAATCATTTTTTATTAAAAAAAGAATTATTGGAAGAATTCGGAAAATAGTAAGCGATAAATAATGTTATTAGAATTCTTGTTCTCATGATCAAAGGAAACAATGATTGAAGAACGGGAAATCGTCGAAGTTGGTAACAGGAAATTGTTTTGTTACTTTTCAAGCAGAACTCAATTTTTTGCATAGATGCCACTTGCATTCTTGAAATCTTTTGAAGTAGCCAGTCTATAGATAACACAAATGAGTTTCTATTTGCTCAAGAATTTATTTATGGTTGGATCTGGAATGAAAATGAAGGACATGATGACCAGGGAGAGCGTCCACTTGTTAATGGCAAGTGAATCCATAACTGTATCATAGGATTAGGTTTTATTTAACAAACACGCCTGGAAACTTTTTTCATCTTTTGAATCTGAAAGGGGCTAGTGATTCATTCAAAAATTTTCTTTGTTGATTATATGACTAAAGCAACAAAAAGTTTTCCCACGTAATCATTTTAAGTGTTGCTTACCTGTAAATTGAATGCTTAGATGACATTTGCTGAATGCCATGGTAGTTCAATTATGCTTTATCACTTTCTTCAAAATTCTGCAATTGTTTTTTCTTGTATGAGGTTTCTTATTCCTATTGATCTTGTGGATGCAGGCTGTGGATTATGGAGTTCGTAAACTGTGGGAGCACAACAATATTGGGGTATTGCATCTGCTATGATATGTTTATATATTTGTTTAGTTTGCATGCATTACAAAAAATGCAGTTGTCGCTTTCTCTTTCTATCGAACGGCATAAACTGCTCCTATCTACATTGTTATATAATAATATCAGATGCCAAGCCATTCCATACATACATACATGCATATATATTCATGTTTCTTTCGTCTTTAACAATGCCCCTGTTAAGTCTTGAAGTATATGCAAGAGATTTTTGGAGAAACAATAAAAGTCAGCTGCTTTGATTTTATGGTTAAAAAAATTGACCCTTTGTTTTGTCCAAAACTAATCTCCTGATTACTAAAAGATTTTTAATTATACTGCTAGGCCATGTTTAGTTAAGTAGGATCAGTTGTTGCTTACTTGCTTCTACTTCAGTTTCAGAATCTCGAGAGTATAATCTGTAACTGCTCTTAATTAATGAATAGGTTGTTCTCCATTTGAATCCATGAAGAGCCAAAACTCAAATGTTACTGATCAATTTAAGTTGGTGATAAACTGGAATTTCACGAATGTGTTAGGTTTTACCCTTGAATGCCCCTGATATGTTTCATTATATTGCAGAAACGTTATGAAGATATTCCAGTTTTGGGGCAAAGGCCAACAGAATGAGTTTCTGAGTTCTTCTAGCCATTTGAATTTCCATTTTGAGGATTCAGAGCAAGCATTTACGCTGTAGTGAGCAATTTTAATTGATGCAATAAATATAATTTTTGTTTGGATGCACGATTATTGTATTCGACAATGTTTCCGCCAGTTCACTCTGGATTGTTGACTTGGTATAAATTGTGGATTGCTACAGTGATGTGACTGGGAACAAGTGTTTTAAGTTCGCTTGAACTTCTAGTCAAGTCGTATTCTGGTTTTTTCTATATACAATGTGTCGTTGTGCACTGGGTCATTCTGCAAACATGAAAAGTAGAAAGTTAAAAGCGCGATGATATGCAACTAATGCTAATAAAGGGAAGCGGAAACGTGCACTAGACCATTACAAAGCTGTCACACAGTAATGAGGATGCTCGCTAAGTTTTTGACTAAATGCTCAAGACAAAGTAATTGCAGGTATTAAAGTAATGTAACGAACAGCAAATGTGGTAAGAGACGCAGAGGCACAGTGGAGTTTGGAGAGAGAATAAGGAGAATTCATGGTAGTTCCTCATAAAATCTTTGCAGACAAGATTGATACAACTAAAAATTCCTATTTATTTGTTACCTTTGATCCTTTACAAGACTCGCAATTTAGTTTCTAGGATCAAAACAACTTAATGCTCTTCTCCATGTTTCTGCTTGTAGTAACCCTTCAGTCTCAAGCAATCACGACACTATCATTCGACAGGTTTGATACAAAAAAATAAAAACCGAGAATTTCACATGAAGCTTGATATGAATGAGAACGAATCTGTTTTTGGACTTGTCAGGTCTGGAGTTTATAAGGTGAGGATGGGGAATCTATCTAATAAGTCGATGGAGACGCAATCGATCATTGGGATATCATTGGATACAAAGCAACGGCATAAGCTTTCTCCTGATTAAGGGAGAAAGCATGGTATCAAGGATTAAGAGAAATATTGCCAGGGTTAGTTTAGACAAGGGGAAGGTTTCTGAGGAGGGAGAACAAGATTTATGGCTTGAATTTTTTCAGTTTTAACATTGGAAATAGGCAGGATAGCTGTGGCGGCGTTTATGAGCTTCTAGGCTTTTTGAGAAATAGGCCACAAAGTAGATTCTATTAGAGTCCAACTCTGTAACATGGTCCAGTTTTTCTTAGAGACCTTGCTTTTCCCATTGTGCCAGAGCTGATTGTTAAGATTTCCAGTCTTTAAACACGGAGATGTGTTCTTTATGCGTTCAAAACCCAAATGAATTTCAGAGCCTTTTGCTAATCCAGAAATGCTGCACAATCGATCAATTCACTAAGCAACACAAAGTTTGTCATCACTTCGTAAATTCTGGATTTTTAAATTCAATTTTTTTTTTAATTCACAGTTACGTAACCGAACCTATGTGTATCAATTTTACCTTCAAATAATTTTTTATATCAATTTTATTCCTAAATAATTTTAATTTTTCAATTCTATCCATTTGCTAGAATTTCTTAATAGAAAATTAACTTTAAGTGTCCTACAAAATAACATCGTTTCTTACAAATACAATTTAAATGGAATCCATGATCAAGTATGGCTGGAAAGATTTAATCGAAAACTTGTGAAATTTGGAGTTAAAATTGATACAAAATTTTGTTTGGGGATAAAATTGAGACTACTTATATTATTGGGTCCATTTTTGAGGTTTGTTCCATTAAAATATTTGCATAATGGGTATCATTGTTTACAAATTATGAGTTAGAGGAAATGATAATTTGAAGTACATCCATGATCCATGCCATAACCATCTTGTCCCGAAACCTTTGTTATAAAGCTAAAAGTAAATAAGAAGCAAATCCCAGAAATCCCATAAAGAATCAAATCTAGTCATTGATTCATTGGTTAGGTACGAATTAAAAAGGTTTTTTCTTTTTAGGAATTTCGTTTTTAGATAAAACTTCTAGAGCATGATTGACTCAAATAACGCTTTGGTCGGTCTTTTGGCACTGCTCAGGAATATCAGACAAAAGAAAAAAACATATACTGACTCTTTAGTCTTTGGTAATACGAGACCACAACTTACCGTAAATACAATTATAAATGGTTTGTTTTAAAATGTTTTTAGTTTAAAACATGAATTTATAAATTTTCATATCTTTTTATATTATACATTTTATCATATTTAATCCATTATTTATGTTTCATCTTTCATTTGTTTCAAAAAATACAATGATTAATTCTGATTTTTCAGTTTAAAACACGAATCTATAAATTTTCATATCTTTTTATATCATACATTTTATCATATTTAATTCATTATTTATGTTTCATCTTTCGTTTGTTTCAAAAAATACAATGATTAATTCTGATTTTTTTCTATTGATTTTTTTTTTATTGAGATATATGATTTTTCGAATCTGTGTGTCTATATAGATATATATTATGTTTATGAATTAACGAAAATATTGTTGCAATGTAATGTTCACAGAAGTCATTCTAAAATAACAATTTTAAAATAAAAGGGATCAGATTATGATTAAGGGATGTATTTCTCTGTAGACAGTGAAATTCAAATCTCATGTAGACTATAAGAAATGAGATTAACTAAAGTAAGAGATAAATTTAGTTTTGTTATACCAAATCTAATCCAATAATACTACGAGATAAATTTAGTTTTGTTATGCCAAATCTAAGCTAATAATACTACCTAGCGGAAACACTAAAAAACAAAAGGTTTTAAGTAGACAGAGAACTATGAGATAAAATGAAAACGAGCACAGCTAAAAATTTAGGTAGACCTTGTCCTCCTTCCATCCATTCCGTTTTGCTATCACGAGCATAAGTAGACTGCTTCAAGAGATTTTGTCAATTACTTTAACTAACTACCATGGCCACCAATCAAGGTGAAGAGGATTCAATTAGTCCACACCTAATGCATATGGTGTTTAAAAACAAGAAGTTTTAGACGCATAACCTTATGAATATTGATTGTCAAATTTGGACAGTACATATTTGACAATGCAGTAGAATTTAGTTTAAATTGTAAAATACTTTTCCAACCGGAGCAAGGATAACAATGGACTAGGTATAAAATAGATATTTATTTTATCGGATCTAATAAATACTCATTAAAAATATTCAATGAGTATTGAAGTCGATAAAGATAAAAAATGGATATCCATTAATATTATTGCGGGATATGGATACTCATTCTTCACTCTAGTAATATTCACTAATTCATTTATATTTTTTTATTAACATACAAGAATTTAATTACATAAAATTTAAAAATTAGGGATCAAAATATTTTTTTCAAAAACTTTGATAACAAAAAAAAACTTATAAATAAATGACTAAATGCAAAAAGAAATTAAATTTTACGGATAAAAAAAAATTCTTAAAAATTATAGACTAAAATGAATATTTTTTATAAATTAAATTTAACGGGTATTTAATTGGTATTAAATGGACGGATAAACTAGTATGGATCGGGGTATAGACCGAGTAAAGATTTATATAGTGATTTCTTAATAAGTAATTAGTTACTCGTCCGTTGTCATCCCTAAACTAAAGAGAAAAAACAAATACATACTGAATTACAAAATATTTGATTTTACCTCTTAAATAATATGATTTGCTGATTTTATCTTTTCTATTAAGATTTTTTTTTTTTTTTTTTTTGAGAAATTGATGGATGGTCTTTAAAAATCCAGAAAAATAGAATGTCATGCACGGATCTTGAAGCCCCTGATATGTGGTTAGGCAATTTAGTGATTAGCATTAATAGTTAGCACAAGGAGGGGAAGAGTACCCCAAAATGTACTCATTAAGTTATTATTATTATATTTTGTTTAACGATAAGATACGCTCATCAAGCTTTGAGACAGCTTTTTTTTAAAAAAAAAAAAAATGAACAACAAACTGGTTCAGATATTTTTATGATAAAAGATACTCAATTAATATCATTATTTTTTTAATTTAGGTCATCTACCAAATTATTGGCTCCACCGACCAAATATCGTGTCTATGAAAAAGTGGTATGACAAACTGGACCAAAAAAGCGTTTTGCTACCTTCTAATTCTACTGGATCACTTAACTCAGCCTGAATTTCAACAATTCATCGTCAGTTCAGAAAATCACATTTTACAAGATTAAATTATAAATTAGACCATCTTATTTCAAAAAACGAATTAATTAGTATCTAATTTCAAAAACTAATCATTTAATCCTTTTAACTATTATTATCAACAACTAATTTAATATTTTTTATTTTATAGAATGTCCTTTTTTCATCAATATTTTCATGTTTTTACTTATTTTTTATTTTTTTATTTTTTTATGACAAAAAATTAAAATAAATTAAAAACAACAAAAAAGACTAAATAATTAGTTTTAATTACAAAATATTTTTGCGATCAAGTAAATAGTAAATTGGTCTTTTTAGTTTTTTGAGAAACAAATCAATTAGTCTCTATTTTAAAAACTAATTATACTTTTTTTTTGTTCATTTTATTTTTTAATTGAAAAAATGGATATTATGGAAAACTTAGTAAGAAAATAAGATATTATTTTAAAATAAATAATATTAAATTGAAAACGATTAAGATAAAAAAATTTAAAACAAGAGGACTAATTAATTTACTTTTCACAACTAGAGAGACTAATTTATAATTTGCCCTTCTGCAACCATATTAAAATTGCCAACTATCCTTATTGTCAAATAACAATAATAATAATTTGTTAAAATATACTAAAATATATGATTTTGCACGCGTTGACGGTTGGCTAGTTTTTATATAAATTTTGCTCATGAGGAATTTCATCACTAGTCTCATAAATTTTGTAATAATCAATCCAATTAATTTCCACACTTGTTTCACCTCTGATCTGTCATTTTTCTCCGTTCATTGATTCAATAATCAAGTACTTTAAAAAATGCGGATATATGTGTACAATTTATGAAAGTTAAGTTAATTTTTGAATGAACAGCTCAATTTATTATTATATAATAAGGTATTTCGTCAATC